ATTATGTCAAATAGGTCATGAACCTAGTTTTGTGCATATGTGGCCTCCAATATTTGATGGACTTATAGCCTAACTTGATGTTTGACCTCTGAAGCAACATTGTAGAGGACATCAAAAGGGACATTTGGCTCAAAGAAGCGTCCAAAAATATTGAGAAATGATAAAGTTATGGTGTTTGGACCAAATCACATGTCATACTTGATTTTAGGTCATCAATCTTTGTACAAACTTGTAGTTTTTTACTTTTTTCTTGTATTTTAAGGCACAATGAAGATCATTTTAACACCGCATAATTGAACATTGATTGGCCTTTTGAAATTTTTTTAGGATTGCTTGAGAAATTTGAATGGAAAGGGCGTGGAAATAAATACATGAACCCTAACTTGAAATCACGTGAAAAATGCCTCAAACTTGAACTTAATTTGATAAAATGATATTGAACGAAGCTTGACGTGAATGTGACCTAAGATTATAGGTCATGCCTTTAAGAATAAGTCTTGTTGACCTTGCCTTTGACTTAGGGGAGCACAACCATAATTTAAAAACCCAACTTGATCTCTTGATGAAAAAACCCTTCCTTGCAAAATAATAAAAGAAAATAAAGCATACTTTTGTATTTTTAATCACTACAACATTTAGCCTCTCCAACAATAATTGAAAAGCGTTGCCAGAACTCTGAAAATCGTTGCCTAAACAAATAGGGGACGTTTTCTAGGCGTCTCCTATGCGAGTGTTACCTATTGTTTGAGGCGACGTTTTTTTATGTTTTTTGGGCATGCTTTTGAAAAACATAGCCTATAGAAAAGGAATAGGGGACGATTATTTGCGGCCTCTGAGACGACGTTTTTTAAGCGTTTCCAAATTCGGCTACAATTAACAATCGTTGCCTTAAACCTGAATCAGGAAGATCGTTTTTGAAGTGTAGCCATAGCTTATAGGTCGTTGTTTTATAGTGTCCACATAAAATATACAATTTTGCAATTATTATCAAAATAATATAGTCAATAATAATTGGCTTCAAAAATAATATTGATTATATAACTTAAACCATACATCCATAAAAGTTATAATATAATAAAATTGAGTTCAAACTCTAATTCAAGATATAGTATATAGAGTACACAAAATGCCTAACGTAACATTACTTTTAATACTTTGAAGTATGACCTTAGTAAAATAACTAAAAACATAGTTCAACAAAAGAACAAAAATCATATTTCAAGTTTAATGCTTTCAACTACAAGCCAAAAAAAAAGACATCATCCAACTCACTCAAGTTTGTCTTCTAGGAGTAAATCATCCAGATCGTCCTCTTGAAATTCATTAGATATGTCATCCTCCATAAATTCTTCATCTACGTCGTCCTCTTGAAATTCACCATCTATATCGTCCTCTTGAAATTCATCATCTAGATCTATGTCGTCCTCTTGAAATTCGTCATATACGTCGTCCTCTTGAATTTTATCATTTAGGCCGTCCTCTTGAATTTTATCATTTATGTTGTCCTCTTGAATTTCATCATTTATATCGTCCTTTTCAACATCTTCATTGATACATTGTTGCATAAGAAAATAAAATGAAACACATCAACCATAAATATTTTTGGTCCAAAGGATAATTAAGACATCAACAAGAATTAAACCTTGCACAAATAAAAACTAAACCAATGAGCAAAACACATTGTTTATATTCTTCACATCTCATGTCATGGATGGGCTTTATATTACTTTACTTATCTTCTCATACCAGGAATATTCATAAAAAATACTCAATGTTTTACTTTAAGTCTATATGTCTAAAGTTGAAAATTTAGATTTTTCTCTTTTGCATATAACAAATCTTAAACAGTTTTAGCCACTTCTAGGTGTTGTCACTACTTAAACAATTTCAACCACTTACTTTATTCTAGGTGTTGTCACTACTTGCAAATTTTTCATACATTAACAACCATTTTGATACTATAACATAATTATAAAAATATAAATCAATAATATTGGTATATATGGTTACCTTTCCATGACATGGAGCATGAGTTGATGTAGATGAATGCATTTGCGGTCTTATATCCTTTGGGGAACTATTAGCATCTCCATGAGATAATCCTAACAAATCTTCAATTGACTCTATATTAATTTGAGGATTGCATTGTTGTATTACGGTCTTAAAAGAATTTTGCAATCTATCAATCTTATCTTGAAACTCGTCCCTTAATGTAGAGACCTCTTCACTGTGGGCTTGTTTCAAAGCATTAATCTCTGCCTTTCTCTTTAAGAAAGTTTTAGTTATGTTTCTCCCATAACAGTGTACCCTGCCTGGACACTCCTTTCCAAAAACAACTTTAAAAGCTTTTGTATCACTTTCCTCCTTTTCAACCATTTCTTGAAGTTGGGACTAGCATAAATTACAAAAAAAAATATTAACTACTATTATAGACAATGTTGGACGATTATATTAAGCAAACATATTATATAAACAATGTTACATACAATTACTTTTCCAGTTTCTACATCCAGTTCCTTTCCTTTATTTCCTTTTCGAGTTTCAAAAAACATTTCTGATTGAGTGGACTCTCTTTTTTCCTTTTCACGCTGCACAAATCAAAATAATTCCATAACAAATCATGTGAATTAAAATTCTTATTCATGAGTCAAAGAAAAGTTTTTCAAGAATACTTTAATTGAACAAAGAAACATTCATACAAGGAATACTTTATTGAGAACAAAAGAAAGTTACCACTTTTTCACGAGTCAAAGCAAAGTTTGTGGGACCCATTCGATGCATCCACTTTAGTTGAGCTCTATTTCTAGTGTTATTTTCACTGATTGCCTACATTTAAATTTGACGGAATTATTATAATAAATATTACTTAATTATGGCATACATAGAAAGGTGTAAATTCACACACATACATAAAAAAATTATTAATCTTACTTGTATAGTTTCCTTACTCCAATAAGCACAAAGACTCTTAAACTGGGCTATTGGCACGTTTGGCGGACGATTTTTGAGTCTCTCGGTCATGTTGGAATACTTAAAAAATGATTCTTCTTAATTTTGTGCTTATATCTTCTCCATGCCTCTCTAACAGTGGTCTCAATCCAATCTCATGCTTCAACCGACAAGATAAACTTCCGCTACATAAATTATAATATAAGACAAGATCAAGAAATTAAACACTTTTTTTTAATAATTATACTTTCAAATTCATAGATAAAAACATACATTAGTATATCTCCATAAACGGTTTTTATTATCATCTGGCATTCCTGACCAATTGGTGTAACGTAGAGGATAAAATGTTGAGTTCCTAACCAATGTTCCCAAGAAGAGGCTCAAGTCAGATACTACTTTTTCACTAGGACCAATTGGCTGAAAATCCTCATTAAAGGTCACTTCTACTCGCTCTTCCAAAGTTCTTGCATGAATCTTTTTGCTCAAAGTTTTCCCACGAGTTTTTCTTTGGGATGTTTCTATAAAGTAATCAACACAACAACATGATATCACATGTTTGCTACCAATATGTAAATAATACATGAAATCATTATTATGAAATATGAAACTAATTACCTTTTTCTTCTTCTCTATTTGTGATTGCATCTTCTTCGTTACCTTTTGCCCGATTTTGAACACTTTCTTGTCGAGTTCCTTTTTTTGGCTGATTTTGATTAGAGCTACGGTTAACGCTGTTGCCCGGTTTTTCTCCATTGTTTGACTTGGTTGCATCCATTTTCTTTGACTTGTGAAGATCTACATAATCATCAATCAACATTGATGGGCATTTTAGCACCCTGTTTAGCTTTTCAGAGCATTCAGCTTTTAACATCATTGTGTCCAAAGATAGAGTAGATTTCTCTGGTTTCTTATTTTTGGAAGAAATAAGTATTCTCCTTGCAACTGGTTTTTCCACCTTTTGAATTTTATCTCTATTGTTCTCTAGTAGATTCTCATGAATTCTTTTTTTCAGCATTCCTGGTTTCAATGTAATTTTCTCGTCATAATAATGTCATGAAAAGAAATATATAAATTTAAAGTATATGCAGAGATATTAACTACCTTGTGAAACTTCTTTGTTTCCATGTGCAAAAACTTCCTTAGCTTGTGGTTGCAAAAGCTTGGGTCTCTCTGCTTTCTTCATAGCAATGTGGTTGTCCAATTTTCCATCAACCTTTTGAATTCTTTCTCTATTCACTGTAGCTTTCACTTGAGTTCTTTTCTTTGGTGTTTCTAATTTTAGTAAAAATTCACCAAAAGATATTAGGAATAATTTCATGTAATATATGCATAATAGAAAAATTTAAAAATCACTTACCTTGTACAACTTCTTTGTCACCATGTGCATGATCTTTCATTACTTTTGGTTGGAGAGTTTGTCTATCTCCATTTTCTTTGCAATAGTCTCTTTGTCCAAATTGTGATCAACCTTTTGAACTCTTTCTTGTTGAGTTCCTTTTTTTGGTGTTTCTAATTTTTGTAAAAATTCATTAAAAAACAGTAGGAATAATATATCTAAAGGAATTCCAAAACATAACTTTAACATACATCATTTTATATAAAATCAAATGAAACAAGAAAATTATTTACCGTCCACAACTTCTATAATTTCCTGAACCCTTTCTCTATTGTTTCCCTGTAGCATCTCATGTAACTTGTCAGTTTTTTCTTTCTTAACATGTTGTAGCACTTTATTTGTCAATTTTGCACTTGATCTTACTTGAAGAGAAAAATCAAATCTTTTAGTAGGACTTCGACCACTCTTCTTATGTGATCCACCATCTTTTACACTTCTTACATTGTCCATTATGGCCAACAACTATGATCTACAAAGGGGGAAAATTATATAATTATATAATGAAAAATTGAGTATAAAGTGACATTATGCATAACCATAAATTAACAATATATTTGAATCTAGTTTGTTATGGTTTAAGTAAAAAAATGACAGCATGCGTAACCATAAAATTAAACTACAGTGCAAAAAGCATTGGAATGACTAGGTTCTGTTACCTGAATTCTTTCAACTTGATTCCTGCAGTAATAGAAACTAAAATCTTGTCCTTAGTTAAAAGCGACTTCGATTTCAACACAACTTCCTTCACTGCAACAACAACAACAACAACAACAACAAAGCTAGTAAATGAAACTGAGACGTTTCTTTCCCAAACAATGTTGAAACCGATGAAATATCTATTGAAGTTTAACCGAAACAACGGCGGTGAATGATCTAAAGACAAATAATTAGAAAATGAGAAAATGAAACGCAAATTTAATAAATAGTAAAAGAGATGAAATGGAATACGTCACCTTTAGAAGAAAGGACGGTGATGTCGATGGATTCAAAAGTGGCATAACGAACTTGGTTAGACTGAGCAGATGCGAGTTGCAATGCGGGAATGGGGAAAGACGCAGGAGAACCTGCACATCACACAACATTGATATAATCACATGGTTAACTCGCCCTCAAGTAATTAAAATAACATTATACTTATATTTGAAAGGAACTAGAAATTTTGTTTGTAGTAAACTAAAGAAAAGAAAAGATACAGGTAAAGTACATGTGGATTTCCACATGAATTAATGGTATTCCAATTACAAACTTATTAAACAAAATGAACAAAGAACCAATACTGTAATAGTTATCTAATAAAGTGCCACCAAGGAATAATATAGGTATTTACTCATGCAAAACTTAAAGAATAGAAAGTAATTTATCTAACTAATCATATAAAATTTAAAGGAATAGAATACCACCATGAATAAAACATACTGAGAGTTTCTTAAACTGTAAGAAAATGTCACCGTGAATCCTAACAAAAAAAAGAAAACTAACATATGCATCGCGAAGACCCTTAAAACCTCTACCTATCAAGCTGAGTTTTAATCTAGAAGACAAGAAAAGACGAGATCTCCTAAAGGAATTCACATGAATTTGAGCACAAACAAACTTCATGCTAACAAAACAATGAGCATCGCTAACAGCAAAATCGATTCTAAAACAATTCGTCTTTATCAACCTGATTCGGAACAAAATTTAAAGGAGAGTTCTCTTGTGGCTAATACATACACAATTATACTGTCCAAACTAAACAACACCAAACCGTAAAACACCGTACAATAACACACATATACATGAACAACTTAACAGTGACAGTTCAAAAGAAACTAAGCTAACATTGTGTGAACCGCATCATACACGTAATAAAGTATCAACCAAAACATAATGCAAGTAAATTTTGTGAAAAGTTAACATGAAGGGAACAACTAAATATAACTAGAATATATGAATATAAATGACAAAAAATCATTTTTATAAACTGTCTTTGAAAGATAGAGTTGACTCATCCCAAATTATAAATATTGTGTGGTCTTATCCGTGCTAAATAACTAATGAAGTTCAACTTCCAATCCAATTGAACAACCACATGTGAAATGTACACAATTATGAGTTAGAAAGATCAAGATCAAAATAAGAAACCTACTTGTACATCAGAAAACAAACATTAACATGGGAGTGGCACTTGGCAGTATGCTGCAAAAGTTAATGCAATCTATACAGTTACTTTTTAGTAAAACTTATTTACATTGCTAGTACCTTCTGAATGTACATGATAAAGACAAAAATATTAATTAAGATTCAATCATAAATAATATAGATAACTATATATAATCCGAGTAAAAAATATAGTAGATAGATGAATTTTGATTGAATGTCTTTTATAATGCTCTTGCATATATTTGTCTATATTCAGAAGATAGTACCTCGAGAAAACTCATAATTGTCAACTTCTTATATCAACAACAATATGAAAATGCCCACACAAACTCAAACAACCATCAAAACACTTGGATTCAACTCAAACACAACGATACGAAATGGCGATCGAAATATAAATGCAGAAATACATACAAACACACCAACATACACCCCACGTCAGAAAAACATAATCAATATTAAATTAACATCCATTCATTGAACCTTCTCACCAACATAAACCAACAACGATAAACTGTATTGAAATAAAATGAAGAGAAATTACCAATAATGCAATTTTGAGCACGTCGTGTTGTTATGATGCTGCTGAAGGTGTTGAGCGTTGTTGCGGATCAGAAATGGCGATGTATATAAGTTTACGGCGGTGGAATGTGGTACGGTAGATCTAGGGTGGGGTTTTGGAATCGAGCGGGCGACGAACGAAGGCAGTTGGACGGAGTGACGAACAACACGGCGGAGGGTGTGGACGAAAGTGGTTTGAGTCGGAGCGGATGAAGGACTTGGACTTGGAGCGTCTGAGAGCGGCACTGTTAGGTTCGGCGGCGGAATGTGTGAAGAAGGAGATCGAAAGCTTTTGTTTTTCTTTTCTGTTTTTTTTTTCTTTTTTCTATTTTCTATTTTTTTTAATAAGATGTGGAAATTATAGTTTGACTTAATTTTTTTGTTAAGTGTGGATACAGCATCTAATAAGATTTTATAATTGTGTTTTTTATTAAGTCCATGTGGATAAATACATGCTTATAATTAAATATTATTTTATAATTATGTGTTAAATTTTTTTTAATATATATATATATATATATATATATATATATATATATATATATATATATATATATATATATATATATATATATATATATATATATATATATATATATATATATATATATATATATATATATATATATATATATATATATATATATATATATATATATATATATATATATATATATATATATATATATATATATATATAATGTTTAGAGAAAAATATTTGTTTTTTAGTGTATAAGTTTTGGAGGGAAGATTGCCACCAAAAATTTGATAATGCTAAAAAAATGTATACAACATTTCAGAAATGTAGCATTTTATTAGAATTAATGTAATAATCTAAAAATATCCCCAAAAAATATTTTAGGGGACAATTGTCAAACATTGCTAAAGAAAATATTTTTAACGCTCTAAAATCATCCCCAAAAGCAGTTAAAGACACAATTAACAATCGTTGACAAAAAAATAAAAGAGTATCGCTCCATAAACGTCCCCAAAAGTATTTTAGGCGACAATTATCAAAGGTTGCAAACATATTTTTGACAACAATCGTAAATCGTTGCCTATATGAATTTAAGGCAACAATTTCTACATGTTACCTAAAAAGTGTTGTCAGAGACAACAAATATTGTAGTAAAAAAAAAGTAAACACAAAGATAAAGAACACACAAAGGATGCTTGATGATCCTCCACACAACAAACCCAAAAACAAGAGGGTTAGAAGGTTGTCATGTTTGTAATCTTGATGAAATACAACGATATGATAAATAAAATCTTAGGATAAAAATTAGGATATAACACAAAAACAAAACACTTTGATGATGTTTTGCGACTGCATTTAAAACACAACTAGGAATGTTCCATTCAGTCTAGTTTGTGAAAAAGCTTTCCATTTTTCCATTGAGCTCCAACATAAATACTTTTGGAATACAAAAAATTAAACTTCAAACCTACAAGTTCCGGGTAAGGGCAAGGCTTTTGCAACTGAATGAACTTAGACGAACATAAACTTTATCTTAAGAAAATGCTGAAATCTATAAGGAAAAGACTAAGAGGGTAGCAATATTGAAGACTTCATAAAAGAGCGTTATTGGAGGGATGTGACTTCATAACACAAGTTTTCATACAAAAAGGGGATTCATCTAAAGGGCATGGCTGAAATTTTTTATTTAAATTTTCTCATCTTCCTCTTCCATCGGTTCACTTCCTCTATCTTTTCCACTTTCGTTTTTCTCACCTCCGCCACTACCATTTTCTCCAGAGACTGATCCTCCTGATCCCTGTCCTCCTAATTTTCCTCCTCCAACCCCTTTTACTGGTGCTCCACGGCTTCTCCAATTGGTCCAGCTACGATTCCAGACTACCCGTTCACGTATCCTGATATTTGTTTTGAATTCTTTCATTGCACCAGCTACAAAATCAACAAACATTTTTTTATTAAATATAATAAAACAATAGAGATATTTTGCATTCAAGTAATATGTATACATTCTTTGGATGGCTCAATTGCCATGACAGAGATGATAATTAATGCACAAAGAAAAAACACAATGATAAAAGTCTTAGTTTTCATCATTGATATCAATTAAGAATATATTGTAGTGAAATATGAATACAAGATGCAATTATTTATAGTGAACATAAATATAATAGCATTTTATTAGATAATATATTACACTATATATATGGCTTATTGTGAGGATAATAGGTCATAAACAACATTATATTGAGCGATTGAAGAGTTAAACTGCAACATATTTATCAAAAAAGGTAAATAGGTTTTTCACACAATGAAATGTGTAACTCGCTATTACACTATGGAGCTAACAAGTTGCAAACCTATATTGTGATGACCTTAAAATATACCATATTGATTAGCATTATTTTAATATTTGCGTAAGTTATTTAAATATTATTAATTTAAATATTTAAATCTATCTTTTTGTGTTATTGTGAGGGATCTAACACCATTGTAATAGAATAACATCACCAATTATAATGTAATAATGAACTTCATAATCTAGGATTATGTACTAATATGTAAATAATGAATAGTTTATTCACCAAAAGTTACCGTTTTGATATCTCAAGAGAAATTAGCTCGGCTATACTATATCCTACCTGAAAATATAACCAAAAATGAGTTTAGACAAACTAATGTATGAAAAATAGATTATAGTCCTTACTTTAGAAGCATGGAAAGAAGTGTGAATATAATTTAGGTTTAAATAAGTTTTACTTTAAATATTTTAAATTTCGTTTTTAATCTCTCTAAATTTTTCTTTTAAAGAATGGTCTTCTCAAAAATTAAATTTTAACTTTTGG